GATCTGCTTCTGCCTTCCAAGTGTTGAGATTAAAGGTGTGAGTCACCACTTCCCGGCTGATAAATTTATTATTTTTTTTTTTTTTTGGTTTTTCGAGACAGGGTTTCTCTGTGTAGCTTTGCGCCTTTCCTGGAACTCACTTGGTAGCCCAGGCGGCTGGCCTCGAACTCACAGAGATCCGCCTGCCTCTGCCTCCCAAGTGCTGGGATTACAGGCGTGCGCCACCACCGCCCGGTGATAAATTTATTCTTAAAACCCCTAAATTTGTGGACTCTCCCTCTCCCTCTCTCTTTCTCATGCTTGGGATGCACCCCAGGGCCTTGTGAATGTTCTGCACACGCTCTCCACTGAGTTACAGCCTGTCCTTGGGGTTTTTTTTTTCTTTTCTTTTTGGATACAGGCCTGATTGTGTAGTTCAGTCTGACCTTGAACTCTTGGTCCTCTTGCCTTGCCTCCTCCAATGCCTTAGCTTTCACACCAGGCTTGTTGGAATGTTTAAGAGGCAGCTGGTAGGTACCAGCCTTACAGGTATGGAGTTAGCATGGCTGCCGCTGAGAGCCAGCTGGTTTGGGCCACTAGCTCCTGCCCTCCCAGCAGAGCCCTCCCTGTGTCTCTACTGATAATGAGGATGGCACAGGAAAGATGGGAGAAGAGAGGCCTGCAAAAAATAAAAAGAGGGTGGTGGTCACAGGAGAAAAAGCTGGAGCTCAACAAGTACTTCCTAAGTAAAGGCCATCTGTTTTTTCTCTGTATGTATGTGTTGTCTGACAACCAAACTGTGGAATATCTGTCATCATTGGTTCAAGGCATCTCTCATCTATCACTCAACTGGTATTTGATATTTTATATATCACTTAAAAAGGAGGCTGGTGGCCCATGTCCCATACTCTGTGCTTGGAGCACCCCAGGCTAATGTGTTCCTCTGTGGTTTATCCCCCAGTTGGCTGCCACACTAGTACATCATGTGGCCAAGCAGTACCCAGGTTAAACATCTGGGCATGGACCCGTAGGCAGCTGGTGTCCACACACCAGTGCTACAGGGTCACCTGGGCCGTGACTAGGGGCAACATCGGCCCCTGCAGAAGTCCTCCACCAGCCTGTGCAGGAGCTGGGTTAGCCCTATTAGAGTCACTCTGGTCAGGAGAGAAAAGGCTCCAGATCTGTGGCCAGGGGAGGCTTTGCTATGGAGGAAGAGGAGGAGACTGAATGGGGAATGGGGTGCCTGGGAACTGTCAGGAGTAACACACCGGTGCTGTCGATGCAGCCCAGTTAGTAGAATGCTGCCTTGGCATGCATGCCTGTGATCCTAACACTTGGGAGGCAGAGGCAGAAGGATCAGAAATTCAGGGTCATCCTTGGCTACAAATCAAGACTGAAACCAGCCTGGGATATGTGAGACCCTGCCCCTCCCCCAACAGGGCTGGCCTCAAATTCAGAGACCCACCTGCCTCTGCCTCCCAAGTGCTGGGATCCAAGGTGTGCGCCACCACTGCCCACCAATCCTTTCTTTCTTGGCTACATTACTAGTTTGGTTGCAATTCCAAGGCCCCATGTCAGAGTTGGCATCACAGTGGCTATGAGGGAAATCAATCCTGCAGTGGCAGATTTGACACTTCTTCGAGTTTGATGTTGAACCAATCCATGCAGGACCAGTGAGGCACTTTATGAGATGGACTATGTATGGGCTAAAAAAATAATCAAGGAGGTGTCCACTGCAGATCCATCATGGAGCAGATCCACTGAGCTTAGCTCTCCTTGATCCCAGTGCATTATTGACTCTGTTTGAAGTCCTTGGAGAGGAACATCACTGTGCTAGACCCAGCCCTCTTGCAGCATGCACCCAGAAAGGGGTACTGGTGAAGGCCAAGTGAACTGAACTGGTCAGACTCTGAAAAACCCCCTTGTTTAATACAGAACTTAGGTGGATTCTCTATTCAGTCTTCACAGACAGGCCCATGAAGATATCAGAAGCTAATTCTCTGTGTGCTACTGTAGACTGTTCACCCCATACATCACACCCAAACAACTCTGTCCCAACTTAAAATGTCTTCAGCTGCCACTGGGGCATGGGGATTTATAGCAAGAGAAGAGCATGGGTGAGTGACGCCAACTTTGAAGCCTCGGGCATTGCTGCAATCAAGAGCTGACTGTCCTGGCCCGAAGGCGTGAGAAATCCTGTTGTCTGTCATCGTGAACTTAACACACCACCCACACACCCCCACACACACACCCCCACACACCCGTCAATGCTGTCCTCTTTTCTCTAATTCCCTTTTCTTTCCTATTAAAACACTTGCCTGATAGTTCACACTCTAGTCTCAGCTGTTTTGTTTTGTTGTGAGACTTAGTCTCATGTATCCCAGGCTTTCCTGGAACTTGCTATGTAGCAAGGGATGACCTTGAACCCCTGATGCTGGGATTATGAGTTTGCACCATCATGGCCTGTTTTCTGTGCTGTTGGGCATACCAGGCAAGGTGCACCCACAGGGGCAAAGTGCCCCCATATCCATATCTAATGTGCTGGAGGAAGAATTTCCCCTTCACGACAGATACCCAGCTGCCTTAGATTATAGCCAGCTCACAAATCCTGGCACTATTTGGTTGTAGATGTAGAGGAAAGTGCGGTATTTTTTTTTTCTTTCATTCAGCTGAAAGGGAGAGAGGGAGAGGGCTTGACTCTGTGAGACTGAAACCTTTCTTCATCTTATTTCCATTCTGACTGATTTTTTTCCCCCTGAACCTATTTGAAGTTATAACACAGCAGATCAAATCATTTAAAGCCACCGACCTCTGTGCAAGCCGTTATCTCCGAGGAGGAGCATGTTGTTACAAAAGGCTGGTTTGGCTTGCTTGCTTTCTTTTTAAAACCAGGTCAGGATTAATTTTAAGGTTAAAAAAAAAAAAAAAAAAAAAAAAAAAGATGTGGCAGATAAAAGGGCAGCTTGAAATCCGGGGCTCTTCTTGGGTTACTCTGAGCCAAACATCCTCTTTCATTAAACCAGAGTGTGTCTGCAGGCTGCTTTGTCTGCTCTTTGCTGTCATCTCTAATGCACTTGGAAGAAGCCTTTCCCACCGTGGGATTCAATACCAGGCCCCAAAGAGATGGGCTCCGATTTCCCGAATCCGGGTAATTAGCTGAGGTCTAGTGGCTCAGTTAAACCATCTGAAGGTCAATAGCTTATAACTATCTGTAGTTGAAGTCTGGTGCCCCCATCTGGCGATGCAGGCAGAACACTGCATAATAAATCTTAAAAACTTTTTTAAAAAATACTTTCCAGTCTGTCATCTGTCTGTCTATCTACCTACCTAGCATCTATCTATCTATCTATCTATGGATTGTAGAAGATGTATCAGACACAAATGCCCCTCGTTCTACTTAGATGATATTTGTCTTTCAGCCTAACCCCTTTTTCCATTTCTGAAGCACCCAGGAATACCAGACTGTGTAAACAGAAAGAACCTTGTGGTGAGCACTCTCTTGCCTACACTCTCTTTAACCCAATGCTTCCACAAGCTCTGGGGTGAAAGGTCCCAAGCAGGCCTGTTCTTAAAGGTGCTGCATAATTCCTCTTCAGTCGGAGCATCTCTGGACCTGTGAGATCTGATTGCATCTGCAAGTGGGATCGTCTGCACTTTGCATTGCAGAAACCCAAAGGATGCAATAGTAAGGGAAGCAGACCGTTGCTGGAGCTTGGAAGCCATCCCAGCATCTGTCACCAAAGTTCCCAGGTTAGGGTTCACTTCACTTTCCTGCGCACAGAGAGCTTCATTTATGCACCTGCAGCATGTATCTTAGCAACAGCTGTGAAGGGAATGCACTGGGAAACTCTCCCGGCTTTGTGTAGTGGGCCGTCTGGGGGGGGGGGGGGAGGCGCGGGGAGGCTGTGAATGTGGCCCCAGCACAAAGTCGGAAACTTACTGAAAATATGATGAGTTTTTTTTGTTGTTGTAACTCACTGTGGGGGTCCTGAGCATGAGAAACTTGCAGATGAGAACTTTGTGTGTCGTAGTGTCAAAAGAGTGGACACACACATGGTACTTAGAGGAGAGAAAAACAGAATGTTCTCTCTAGCATGTTTTGTACAAAGGCACATGGATTTTAAAGGGGAAGTCACTTTTAGCTAGTAGTAGTTTTGTTTCTGTTGTCTTCATTATTTTTCCTTAGAAAAGGCCTCATGTAGCCAACCCTGATCTTAAACTCACTATGTAGCCGGAGATGACCTTGAACTTATGATCCTTCTGCCTCTGTTCCCGACTTGTGAGGATTGTAGGCAGTAGAAGATTAGTTTATCTTAGTATGTGTGAGGTGCCTCAAGATGAACCTAAGGCCTACCCTAAAGGAGATGAACATGCTAGGCAAGTGTCCTACCGCTGAGCTATGTCCACTTGCGCTTTTGAAACTGAGTCTCGAGTAGCCCAAGCTGGCCTCCAATTGACTATGTAGCCAAGGGTGACCTTGAACTTCTGATTCTCCACCCTCCATGTCTCAAGTTCTAGGATTACAGGCCTGTGCCACCAGGCTCTTTATGCCATATTGAGGGTGAGCCCAGGGTCTTTTGCATGCTAGGCAAGCCCTTTACAGACTGAGTTCCATCCCCAATCTATTTACCATCAATGGTTATCTTTGGTGCACCAAACTCCATACACACAAATAGGTCATTGGCTGGCTGATACCCAGTCTGTAACTATAGTAACAGGCATGGTGTATCTCCACCTGTGCTGCAAATGATGCTGTACTTCCTACCACGGCTTCCCAACCGATAGGGAAGTATGCTTTTAACAATGTGAACTGCTGGATAGCATGTCTGACCTCTGCGACAGCACGTCACAGAGGGACCGTGATGCAAACCTTTGTCTTCTGTGGTTTCTACCATCGCACATGCCATGTTAGCAGAGTCTGGGCCCGTCATCCAGTCAGACTTAGACTGTTCTCTGCTCACTAATTCCGAATGATTCATAGCAGATTTACCACCTACACTGTTTTTTGACCTCCAATTCAGGTGATGTCTTCCCAGTGCAAATGAGTCCCATAGCCCAGTGTCGGTTTGTGCCCTTGGCTGAAGTTCTTTGCTGCATTATAGCTGATATGAACGCGGCTCAGGTGGCTGTAACACAGGAATCACTCTTGGAGCACTTGAAGAAACATTACCCAGGTAACCAGTGTTCACCACTTGAATTCATTCAAATGTGTTTGGTTTCTATTTATAAACAATCCTACAATATAAGTAACGGTCCTGGTGTCCTTTTTTCCCTTTTTAGAATCTTTCGTCACAACACTGAGTTACCCAGCTCAGTGGCAAAGGCATGCAGTCTCAGCTACTTGCTAGACTGAATCAGGATTGAAAGTTCAAGGCCAGCCTAGGCAGCTTAGTAAGACCCTGTCTCAAAATAAAGGTAAAAAGAGGGATAGAGATATAGTTCACTGATGGAATGTTTGCCTAGCATGCGCAAAGCTCTGATCTCCATCACCAGTACAGAAAAAAAACCCAAAAAACTGTCAAGAATAGTCCTACATTAACATTTGTGTGTGCATGTCACATGCATGTCACGGTACACGTGTCAGAGGACGACTTGCAGGAAGAGTCAAGACTTGCTTTTCACCCTGTGGGTCCCAGGATTGAACCCAGGTCCTTGGGCTTAGCAGCAGGGGTCTGCTGAGCCGTCTCACCAGCCCAACTTCAACATTTCATCAAGATAAAATTTCTTTTACTTTCTGGATTCTTTTTCATATGTAAATTCGTGTTAATCAGCTTCTGTCGTGAGGGACTTTTCCCTCAATTTTTCCCATGTCTGTTTCCCAGAAATGGAACTGATAGAATTGTAGCTCTTAGTTATGCCTCCACAGACTGTGTTTTAATGTACAATGACATAAGTGGAATCATTCTGTACATTCTTCATATAGTGCTCATGAAGACTTTTTAATTTCCATGTTTGTTCATCACGAGGCTTTCTCAAGGTGTATGTAGGTTTGGGTTTTTTTTGTTTTCAGTGCTGGGATCGAACCCAGGGCTTCGTTAGGCAGTTGCTTTCCTACTGAGTTTTCAAATTTTAAGTTGATTTATATCCAGTGATATTCAGATTTTTGGTTTTTGTACTTAACCATTAACCTTGCCATATGTAATATGGGGACCAACTTGTATAATGTTTTGTAGTTTAGTTCCACATATTATTCTTTGGGTTGTTTTGTTTTGTTTGAGATAGGGTCTCACTGTAACTCAGACTGGCCTGCTTCTCAATATCTAGCTCAGGGTGGCCTTGAAATTGCAGTCATTCTCCTGTGTCAGCCTCCTGAGCGCTGAGATTACAGATCCGAGTCACTAGGCTCAGTTCTAATTTTAAAACAGTGTGTGTACGTGAGCGCTGGCACGGATGTGTCACAGTCCACGTGTGGGAGTTGTCCTCTGTCCTGCCTCTTTGTGGGACCGAGGACCAAACTCAGGGGTCAGGTCTGCATACATGCACCATTATCCACTGAGCCGTCTGACCAGCTAGCATTTTAATTGCATGTAATATATACAATCAGCTCCAGGTTTGTGGTCGTTCTGAATTTCTAACTGTTTGTTTTTAGGTATTGCGGTTCCTTCCCCAGACATTCTCTACGGCACCCTGGGCGCTCTAATTCAAGGGAGGAAGATTTACCACACAGGAGAGGGCTACTTCATCGTTACACCGAACACTTACTTCATCTCAAATACACCCATGCAAGAAAATCAGAGAGCCCTCCTGCCAGACGAAGGGTGCCCAGTGCCAACTTCTGTGACCTATCTGGTCAGTGTGGATTGCTGTGCAGAGCTGGCCCAGGAGAACGAGGTCCCTGTTTCCCACTGTCCATCATGTCAGTGTTTCCTTGATACAAGTGTGCAGGACTCTAAGGACCCACTGACTGGGGCAGAAGTGTCTAGAAAAAACCAGGAAGGTCTTGAGGAACCCACACCTTTGTCTAAGAACCAGGTAGCTGCAGCATCTGAAGACACCCAGGTCTGTGTGAGCCCCAAACCATTACCATACACCAAAGACAAAGGCAAAAAATTTGGTTTCGGTTTCTTGTGGCGAAGTTTGTCCAAAAGAGAGAAGTCTAGAACAGAGCACCACAGTTTCTCTGCACAGTTCCCACCCGAAGAGTGGCCTGTCCGGGATGAGGAAAGCGCCAACAACATCCCCCGAAATGTGGAACATGCGATAATCAGGAGCATTAATCCTGTGCTGACTGTTGACAACCTAATCAAACACACAGTCCTAATGCAAAAATATGAAGAACAGAAGAAATACAATAGCCAGGGCACTTCCACGGATGCGCTGACCACCAGGCATAAGCATTCTTCTAAAGAAGGAATTCGGAAAAGGCAGGGCCACTTTGCCAAGCCTCACAGGCGGGGCTGTTCTCACAGGGATAGACACAAAGCATGGAGCCAGGGGAGTGAGCTGGAGCCAGGAAGCACTGGACTTTCTGAAAAGCATCCCAAGGTCCCCACAGCCCAGCCTGCTCCCAGAATGAAAAGCCGCAGTGAAGAAATTCAGCAGTTGCGTGGTGGGATTCCAGCTGTGCTAGGTCCCCATTTGATTTACAAGAAGCAGATCAGTAATCCTTTTCAGGGCATGTATCTCAGAGGGCCCCCAGTATCCAAAGGGCACAATGTTCAGAAGAGCCATGATCTGAAACCTGGTCCCGTCGGGCCAGAAGAAAAGCCTTTCCAGAGGGCAGGGTCTTCAGGTCCTTTGGGAGTCTTTGATGGTGGAGGCCAGGAGCCATATTTGGAACAATGCCATGATAAACTGGAAGCAGAAACCATGCTTTCAATGAAGGCTCCTGGCCATCCTGTCAGTGACGTCAGAGGTGGCCCAGGAAATTACCCTCCGTGTAATGTTTTGGCAAGCCACCCTCGGGGCTGTTCTTTCAGGGAAAGCGTGTTGAGAGGTGAACTGTATAATGAAGAAAACAAGATCTTGAGGAAAAGTTATTCTGACTGCGACATGTTCTTGGGAACCACAGAAATGCATCAGGTCTTGCCCTCACAAAGTCCCCCCTCTTTAGACCCAGTAGTACCCTGTGTGTGTACATCAGTGAATAAGACCATACACCAGTTCCAGAACCTGGGCCTCTTAGATTACCCAGTTGGAGCAAACCATTTGAGGACACACCAAAGACAAGGTGACTCCAAAGATCTATCTAGGAAGACATTTGTCCCAGAGGCAGAGATTGGGAATGTGGAAAATGAGGGGCCCTCCGACAGTGAGCAGGACGAGGCAGCCGTGAACCAGAGTGAGGCAGGGGTGGATGATGGGGCCTGCAGTTCACTGTATCTAGAGGATGATGACTTCTCTGAGACTGATGATGACTCCTGTCACACACTGCCTGGACACACTCAGTATTCCTTTGCAGGTGGAGGCAGGCCGAAGCAATGGCAGGGAAGACCAATGGTGACTGGAAGACTTCTGACAGGATGTAATAGCAAAACTGATAGGTTTGAGCCCCTGGCGCTTGAAAGGAAACACTGGTACAAGGCCACTGGGTTGTCTGCAAATTCAGAGGAAGGTCCAAACCCTGATCTCACAGACAACCCTGGCCTACACTCAGGGACTCCATTTGGTTTCCACTATGAAGGAGAGCCCATGGCTGCCTGTGTCCAGGCCCCAGCAGCCGCTGGTGGAAGTTTACTTGAATTCTCTACTGCAGGGAAAACCAGTTGGAGGGCTGAGGTCCTTCGAGATTCTCCTGGTGACACAGGAGAGAATTCAACTGGCTGGAGACAGAGCCCTGCAAATCAGGAAATGGAAAAACATTTCCCAGACAAGTCACGACTTTTCAGCACCTCCCATGTGCCGGTGTTGGCTCAGGAGCCACAGCGAGAGCATAGTCGCCTGGAAGGGACAGAGAGTTGTAGCGTGACAGGAGACAGCGGGGTCGATTCCCCAAGGTAAGGACGCATGTGGGTGCTACATTAGCTCCTCCTGCAGGAGTCCATTAGTCAGGGCACGTGGAGCTGCCTAGTGAGAGACTCCTGAACACACCCATGGAACAATGTCAGCAGCCTTGGGGGAGTAAATTGTATCAAGTTACGATGAGGTTGCATATGGTAGGACAGAGTCTACTTTTTTTTTTTTTTTTTTTTTTCCGAGACAGGGTAGCTTCGGAGCCTGTCCTAGAACTCACTCTGTAGACCAGACTGGCCTCGAACTCAGAGATCCACTTAGCTCTACCTCCCAGAGTGCTGGGATTAAAGGCGTGCACCACCACAGTCCGGCTTTGTTTTTGTTTTTCGAGACAGGGTTTCTCTGTGTAACAGCCCTGGCTGTCCTGGAACTAGCTCTGTAGACTAGGCAGGCCTCGAACTTAGAAATCCATCTGCCTCTGCCTCCCTAGTGCTGGGATTAAGGGTTTACACCACCATCATCTGGCCAGAGTTCACTTTTAAAAACTAATATCTTTAGAATTTTAGACAATATGTATTTTAAGGGTTTATTTTATTTTTATGTGTATCAGTGTTTTGCCTGCTTGCGTATTTGTGCGTGCATCTCGTGCAAGCCTGGTGCCCACTGGGATCAGAAAAGGGCATCAGATCCTCTGGAACTGGAGTTATGGATGGTTGTGAGCCACCATGTAGGTGCTGGGAACTGAATTCAGGTCCTCTGCAAGAGCAGTCAGTGCTCAACCGCTGAGCCTTCTCTAGCCTCATACAATACATTGATCATATTCATTCTCCTACCCCCAGGTCCTCCTATATGTACCCTCTCCCCTCTACCCACCCAACTTAAGTTTTCTTCCCTTTTTTCCCCCATCAAGTTAGTGTTTTCCAACTACTCTTGCGACTGGGGCCTGGCCTAGAGAGTGGTTAACCTACAGGGGTCACAAAATTAAAGAAAACTGACTCAATAGAGTTACTTTTTAGTGGGAACCAAATTTTACTGGGCATTGTTTCTAACACTAGAAAGGAACTGCTAAAAACAAAGCACTTTCAGAACTTAGAGTTGGAGATCTTCTCATCTATTCCTGGATCTATTTGTGTTAAGTAAAGGATGTGGGGGGCTGGAGAGATGGCTCAGCAGTTAAGAATACTGGCTTCTCTTCCAGAAGTCCTGAGTTCAGTTCCCAGCAACCATGTGGTGGTTCACAACCATCTATAGTGCGATCTGATGCCCTCTTCTGGCATAAAGGTGTACATGCAAATAGAGCATTGATATAAATAAATAAATAAATAAATAAATAAATAAATAAATCTGAAAAAAAGATGTTAAAAAAAAAAGGATGCAGCCACTTCTCACTCAACTTGTTTAAACAACAATTGTTGTATGATAAACGGAATACGGACTTATAAGATACTTAAGAAGTGTTTGGAGTTGTAGCCCAGCTGGTAGAGTGCCTGCATGACATGCGCAAAGCCCTGGGTTTGATTCTAACATTGCATAGATGGGATGTGCGGGCATAGCTCTCATCCCAGCTTGTGAGAGTGAAACAGGAGTTCAAGGTCATCCCGGGCTACATAGCAAGTTCAAAGCCAGTCTGGGTTCAACCCCCTCCCCCAACACACATACACGCTAAGTATTAAAACTAAGTATTAACTAAGTATCAACAAGTTTTAAATAACATTGTGTGTGTGTGTGTATGTGTGTGTGTATGTGTGTGTGCATACACTCCTGTGCACATGCACACACGGTACAACAGAGTATGGAGGTTAGAAAGAATTCTTTCTTCCACTGGGGATAGATGGGTCCTGGGGATAGAACTCAGGTTATCGGTATCCGCAGCAGCAGGTGTCTACCCACTGAACCATCTTACCATCCTCCCCAAAGTATTTTTAAAATTTTGTAATGATCCTACTATTTTTTTCTTTCTTTCTTTTTATCTTTGCATTTTTGAGACAGGGTTTCTCTGTGTAGCCCTGACTGTCCTGGAACTTGCTGTGTAGACCAGGCTGGCTTCAAACTCAAGAGATCTGCCTGCCTCTGCCTCCTGAGTGCTGGGATTAAAGGCATGGACCACCACACTCAGCACAAATACAAGTATTTTAGCAAAAATACTGGGGGCTAGAGAAACGGTACAGTGGTTAAGAGTACTGGCTGTTCTTCCAGGAGACCCAGGTTCAATTCCCAGCACCCACAGGGTGACTCACATCTATGATTGTATCCCCATGGGATCTGATGCCTTCCTTTGGAGTGCAAACGCACATGCAGACAAAACACTCACCCACAGACGCAAGAAGAATCTTTTAACAGGAAGTCATTCACAGCCATGTGTCCTTTTCCACCCAACTTATCATGGATAGCTTGCAATTGATATATTCACGGCTATCTTGGGGGTTTGTTTTGCTTTGTCAGATTTTTAAATTTTTTATTCATATATATGTGTGCATATGTGTAATGTATGTACATGTGTGTGCAGTAAGGCGGCTTTGGATCCCCTGGAGTTGGAGTCACAGGCAATAGAGCCACCCAATGAGGGTGCTGGGAACAGAACTTTATCATCCACCGGAGCAACAGGAGCTCTTAACTGTTGAGCTGGTTCTCCAGCCCCCCGCTTTTTGTTTTTGAGACAAGGTCTTATTAGGTTGACCAGGGTGGCTTCCAACCTGTGACCTTCCTGCATTACCCTCCCAAGCCTTTGTTGTTCTGTTTTGGTTTGGTTTTGGGTGGGGTGCTGTTTAGTTTTTTGAGAAAGTCTTCCCATGTACCCAAGATCCTTCTATGTAGCTCAGAGTATGATGGTAGCATTATCACCTAGGAGACAAGCTTGTGAGGGATTATCTAGATTAGGTTGATTGGGGTGGGAAAACCCATCTCAACTGTGGGCAGCACCGTCCCATGGGCCGGGCTCCTGGACTGAATGAAAAGGAGGAAGAGAGGTGTGTACTTCTTCCTGACTGTGGGTGCAGCCTCTCCAGCTGCCTTGAGCCCTTGCTCCTGCCATGATGACTTCGTGCCCTTGATGGACTGGGTGTGCCCTTGAACTCTGACCCAGTAGACCTTTTCTCTTAAGTTTGTTTTCTCACAGCAACATGACAGACAGCACACACAGCTCCCTCAGGGCCCAGATTTCCAAGCATGAGTGCGATAGGCACCTGACTATCTCACAGCTTTTATTTTTATTTACTTTTTTTTTTTTTTTTTGAGACAGGGTCTCACTATGCAGCTCAGTCTGTCCTGGAACTCACTCTGTAGACCAGGCTGGCCTTAAACTCAATCCACCTGCCTCTGCCCTTCATGTTGGGATTAAAGGTGTGAGCCACCACACCTGGCTATTTTTATTTAAAAAGTTTTTTTCTAGTTTCTTTTTCTTTCTTTTTTTTTTTTTTTTTTTTGAATTTTTTTTTTCAAGACAGGGTTTCTCTGTGTAACAGCTTTGGCTGTCCTTGAACTCACTCTGTAGACCAGGCTGGCCTCAAACTCACAGAGATCCACCTGCCTCCCAAGTACTGGGACCAAAGGTGTGCGCTACCACCACCCAGCTTAGTTTCCTCTTCTTTAATTAAGGAAAACATTACATGTGTGGTGCTTTGCCTGTATTTATGTCTATTCATCACATGTGTGCTTGGTGCCCACGAAGGCCAGAAGAGAACATCAGATCCCCTTCAGTTACAGATGGTTGTGAGCTGTCCTGTGGGCGCTGGGAACAAAACTTGGGTCCTCTGCAAGGGTAGCCAGTGTTTTTTGTCTGTTTTTGTATTTTGTTTTATGTTATTTTCGAGACAGGGTTTCTCTGTGTAGCCATGACTGTCCTAGAACTCACTCTGTAGACCAGGCTGGTCTCAAACTTGGGAAATCTGCCTGCTTCTACCTCCCAAATGCTGGGATTAAAGGTGTGTCCCACCACCCCCCAGCTGGAGACAGTACTTTTAACAGTTGAACATCTGTCTCATGAGTTCTCAACAAGTGGGCAGAGACCACTTTGGAAGTCCAATGACCCCTTTCACAGGGGCTGCCCAAGACCATCAGAAAACACAAATATTTACATTATGATTCATAACAGGAGCAGAATTACAGTTACGAAGTAGCAATGAAAATAATTTTATGGTTGGGGGTCACCATAACATGAGGAACTGTATTGAAGGGGTGCAGCATTAGAAAGGTTCAGAACCACTGACCTAGCCAATCCCATAAAGAAGTTATTTTTTAAATTATTTTGCGTTATATGTTTGTATGTGTATGTTCATCTGTATATAGACAGTGTTCATGTGGAAACAAGAGGACTTGGGGAGTCAAGTTCTCTCCTTCCACCTTGAGGCAGGGTCTCTCTTGTTTCTGTCTCCGCACTGTTTTCACAAGCTTCTGACCAATTCTTCTGTCCCCACTTCCCATCTCACCCTAGGACGGTTGTCATTACAGCCGAGAGCCATGGGAGCGGGCGATGGGGGTGGGCTGGGGTGGGGTGGGATTCGAGACAGGGTTTCTCTGTAGCCTGGTTGTGCTAGACTTAGTCTAAAAGTCACTTTTAGACTAAGCTGACCTCCACCTGCCTCTGCCTCCCGAGTGCTGGGGTTAAAGGTGCGCGCCACCACCGCCTGGCTGAGAGCCTTTTTTATGTGGATTTTGGATATCAAACTCAGATCATTAGGCCTGCATGGCACACAGTTTTAAATGCTTAGCCATCTTGCTGGCCCAACTTCTTGTTTGGTATATTTTTAATTTTTAACTATGTGTATTATGTGTATGTCTGTGTGGGTATAGGCACAGGAATACAGGTACCCTCAGAGACCAGAGGCCTCCTGGAGCTGAAATTATAGTATTGGTGATACTTGGTCATAACATGGGTGCTTGGAATTGACTTCAGGTCCTCTGCTAGAGCAGAGAGCTATTTCTCCATTCCCAAGTTTATTTTTTAAAATTGATTATACTACGGTTTTCTTGAGAGCCTTATAATTACAGATGTTAAGAAGGAAAAGGAAAACAGCATTTGAACATCGGCTCTGTGCTGTGGTTCTTAGGATCAAGGCCAAATGGCCAAGACATCACTGGTACCTTATTTGAAGAGAACTACAAACAAAATTAACACAGACAGGCTGAACTGAAGAACACGCACAGATTCTTCACGTGTGGGATTCAGGGTGACGGGAGAGCTAGGGAGATACTCAAGGGTAGAGCACTTGCCTAGCATGCTCGAGGCCCTGCGTTCAACCCTAGCACCACAAAACAAAACCACCCCCAAATTACTGGTGGAGCTGCCGTGCGTCTTGGCAGTAGGGTACACAGGACAAATGTGCTGGAGCAAGACAAATGTGGCTAGATAAGAACATGGCTCCTAGTTCCCAGGACGAGGACATTATCACTGTGAAAAGTAAGAGTTGATTCTCCCTTTCTGTGACTTCCCCAAAAAAAGATACTATACAAGATATGGATACTGATTCTGGCTGGCATGGACTAGGCTTGATACTTGATACTAGGTTTGGGAACCGATGTTCAGAAAACACAAACTTCTTTGAAAGCATCTGGCAAATAATTGAGGTGCTATTGTGGAGCTTTTCACATGTGGAAAATGGGCTAGGTTTTGGAAAGGTTGCCTTAGATGAGTATGAAGTGCTAGCGTTGCTTCAAACTAACAAAATGAAATTCCAGTGCCTTGAGTGGCATTCCGGGTCCCTTGGGAAGACAGTAATCCTGTCCCTTTTGATATCTTTAGGACACAGAGCCTGGCATCTAATAATTCAGCTGTTTTGGATGGAGCTAAAAGAAGACAGGCTTTTCTGCAGAACAGTGAAGACATGAAGAAGAGCCACCAAGCACCCAGTTCCTTGCTCCAACTAACCCCAGTCATAAACGTCTAACTTTGAGATGAGGTTTTACACTGTAGTTGAGACTGGCCTGGATCTCAATGGGTAATCCCCCTGCCTTAGCCTCAGGAGTGCTGGGATTACAGGCATAAATTACCATGTCAGGATTAAAATTTTAACTGACTTTGGAGAACTCTTTAAAAAATTGGATATGTAAGGATCCTGTAAAGCTGAACATATGTGCTATTATTAACCCCACCATACTGTGTTCTAATTACTTTCTTCCTTTTTACCGTTTTTAAAGCAGTTTTCAGTGCCCTTTACTAGAAATTTGTTGCAGTTTTCAATAAAAGAAACATGAAATTGTTGGTCATTTTCTAACTAAATGTCGTTAATTTTCCTCGATCAGTTTCTCCAATACGTACAATGCTGACTTAGTACCCAGTAGTCTTCCTCATCAGCCAGAGGAATATGGAATTCTCAGGTTAAGCGGGTTTCACACAAAACCCAGAAAACAAACATGGGCTTTAAAGGTTGCATTGATACTTGGAAATGAAAGGATTATCAGAAAGAATCGATACAATGTGTTGCCTATTTTCTAGAAGAATTCTTCCCCTGGGTCATTGCTGCCCAGGGTCTTTTTCTTGTCAATCTGCCAGTAGGTAATCAAATGGCTCCGAAGGGACTGACTAAAGATGTCTAAAATCCCTATGTCAGTAGGCTTGTGGTTCCTCCTTGCATGGAGACCTGTGTGTTGTGACTTCAAACAGCAGCCATCTTGGAAATGCCGCAGCCCGTCGCTTGCATGTGTTGCTTTAAGGGACATTTGAGACAGTTTTCCGGCGAATAGTCATGCTCCTGGTTTCACGTTGTCCCCAGACCAAGGTCCAGACAGGTTACGCTGTATGCCATGTACTTTCGGGAAGCCGCGGAGCACAACTGCCTGCGCTCACATTGGCCAGCTCATCCTATTCGTTCCAATCAAGCTGCCGAATGAGGAACACGTGACTGAGGTCCTGCAGCTTCAGTCCCCGGCCACCATATCTCAAACAAGGCTTCACGAAGTTAAGTTCTGATGAAGCTGAAGGCTGGTGGCTGAGAAGCCGCTCATCCCTGATGGCTGTGGAGTCAAATACATTCCAGTCACGGACCCCGTACAAGTGGCAGACCTTGTGCTCGGGAGGGCCTCCCTCCACTGTGCTCAACCTCCTACCCTGTCAATTTTCTCAGCCATATTTACTAATAATGTCATCTCCATTCCAAAAAGAACAAACTAAAATAAGACAAAAAAAAAAAAAAAATCCCTCCAAGTGAAAAGTTGGGCAGATGTCTAATTTTTGTTGTCGATAGTAGTAAGGCATTCTGTTTAATTTGCAGAGAACTTGTCACGTTTTCAAAGATTTAAAAGTCATTCTACATAAAATGTGCTGCCAAATTGGATGTGTATCAAGGGTTGTGTTGAAGAGCCTGTTGGAAACGGATGGAGAGATTTTTTCCTTAACAAACATTTTTTGAAAAACTGAAACTCGGATTCTGTGGTAAAAGCTGGTTATATAGTAGCATATTGAATAGCAACAAAATAATTTACTGATGGTGAGTTTGTTAATCCATGTATAGAGAGTAAGTATATCAGATGTAATACCTGGGTGGGGGGAGGATATTTCTAAAATCAGCTTGTACATACAAGTAAATTAAGGAATTGGAAAATGGAAAGAAATTCTGAGGGAGATAAGGATGTAGCTCAAATGGTAGAGTGCTTGCCTAGCATGCAGGAAGTCCTGGGTTCAAGCCCCAGCACTGCATGAAGTGGGTGTGGCAACTCATGCCTGTCTTAGCACTTGAGAAGTGAAAACAGGAGACCTAGAAGTTCAAGGTCATCCTTTACTATGCCAAGTTTGAGGCCAGCCTGGGTTACATAAGGTTCTGCCTCAAAAGGAAGGAAGGAGGGAAAAATTATAGAAGTGTCAAGGTTTCTCCTAAGCTTTGGCTGTGGACGTTCACACTGGTGCTGCAATTACACCTCAGCTTGCTCTCTCTCTCTCTCTCTCTCTCTCTCTCTCTCTCTCTCTCTCTCTCTCTCTCTTTGCTTGTTTTTTTGAGACAGGGTTTCTCTGTGTAGTTTTGGAGCCTGTCCTGGATCTCACTCTGTAGACCAGGCTGGCCTCGCACTCACAGAGATCCGCCTTCCTCTGTCTCCCGAGCGCTGGGATTAAAGGCGTGCACCACCACCATTGCCCGGCTTCAGCTCTCCATTTTTCTTAGTGGTACTGATGACAAATGTCACTGTTGGAAGAAATGTCTTTTTTGTTTGTTTTGTTTTGTTTTTTGTTTTTTGAGACAGGGTTTCTCTGTGTAACTTTGGAACCTGTCCTGGATCTCACTTTGTAGACCAGGCTGGACTCGAACTCACAAAGATTCGCCTGGCTCTGCCTCCCGAGTGCTGGGATTAAAGGAGTGCACTACCACCACCCAGCAAGAAATGTCTTCTTGAATGCCATTGACACACACTACGTAGATTTGTACAAAATAATAAATATATTAAAAGTTTTCTTTTTCCATTGTCAATGGATCTGGATGGTACCCTGTGATAATAGATGACCGGGACTTGGAAAATAGAATCTCACGTAATTACCACCCCAAACTCACCCTTACTGAGATATCATTGCGTAGTACATCAGGGAAATTCCCTTGAAAAATTGTTAAATACATCAAGTCTGTCACCAAGTTTGAATTTCATAAAGGGTCAAAGGATTAAATCACCCCCAATTCCCAGAATTTAAGTGTTCACGCTGACTTCATCGACATCCTTTGCTTTGGGGAGGTAAGATGGCTGAGTTGAAGCCAGATGTTGAAAAAGCTATGATTTTTGACATGAAGTGGTTTATAGTATCACAAGCAATGGGTGGGTGAACTGGCTCATTGGGTAAAGGCGCTTGCTGCCAAGCCTGAGTTCAAGTCCTGGTATCGACATAGTGGAAGGAGAGAACCGACTCCCAACGGTTGTCTTCTGACCACACCACTGGACACTAGTAAACGCAATGACAAATGTCTCATTTGTTTCATGTTATTCTCTTTATTACTTTTATAGTAAAACACAGTTTTAAAAATCAAGAAAGGTCCAGCGAAAGCTGGGTGGGTTAAGGCTCCTAAGTCCAACAACCTGAGTTCAATCCCCAGGACTCAAGGCGGGAGGAAAGAACGAACTCTTGAAAGTTGTCCTCTGACCTCTACGCTTAATGCTAACCACAATAAATGTAATTTTTTTAATCAATGAAGTTTTATTATTTATATATGCTATTGTTTTTATTAGTGATTGCAAACTTATGACCTGTTTTTTTATTAAGAATTTTTTTATTCATTTTACATACCAACCATAGATCCCCTCTCTTCCCTCCTCCCGCCCCTCAACCTTCCCCCCTACCCCCCAATCCACCCCCTATTCCCTCCTCCAACAAGGTAAGGCCTCCCATGGGGAGTCAGCAGAGCCTGGTACATTCAGTTGAGGCAGGTCTAAGCCCCTCCCCCGCCTCAAGGCTGTGCATGGTGTCTCAGCATAGGTAGTGGGCTCCAAAAAGCCAGTTCATGCACCAGGGATGGATCCTGATCCTACTGCCAGGGGACCCCTTAAGCAGATCAAGCTACACAACTGTCTCACTTATGCAGAGCTTATGACCCGTTTTTAGGACTCTCTGAATGGGCTACTGGCTACACCACAGAGTTGTTGTCTCCATGTGCACATAGACTTTCCATCACATGAGTGTATGAGTGTTTTGCACACAATTATGTGCTTACCACATACATGTCTGGCATTCTTAGAGGTCAGACAGGTGCGTCAGATCCATTGGGACTGGAGTCACAGAAAGCTGTAGGTCCACATGTGAGTGCTGGGAACTGATCCCTGGACTTTTGCAAGAAGACATACTCTTTTGTTTTGTTTTGTTGAGACAGGATTTCTCTTTGTAACAGCCTTGGCTCTCCTGAAGCTCACTCTGTAGACCAGGCTGGCCTTGAACTCAACGGAGATTGCTTGCCTCTGCCTCCCAAGTGTTGGGATTAAAGACGTGCGCACTACCACCACTTGGCAAGAACAAGTACTCTTAACAGCTAAGCCATTTCTCCAATTGTCCCCCCCCCACACACACCTACCTCCCTGCCGCCCCATCCCATCCTGTCCCCGGTCCTCCTCCACCCCCACCCACACTTTTTTTAAAAAAAAAAAAAATCAAATTTACTGATAGTAGTTGAAATTACACCAGCTCAGGAATAGATTCCCATGCTGGTGTGCTGTTAAACTAAATGTGTGTGTGTGTTCTTCGATCATGGACCTACTGTTGAATTTAATTTAGCAAACATGATATTGGAAAATGTCAGCTCTGTTATGGAAAGCAATGGGAAGAGCCTGCTGCTGCATTTAACTTCTCTGCAGCTACAGCTACTTGAGAAAACAGGAAAGAAGCTGTGGCCTACCAGGGGTTAGAACACTATAAAACAAGAATGGGTTGCCCTGGACAAACTTCAGCCTCTCACACAGCCCCTCTTTCCTGAAGCCTTCCTGGCTTCTCAGCAGTTTCCACACAGTTCTTGGGTGATGGCGCCCTCTTTGCGGGTAACTCACCCTGGTTCCTACAGCCCAATTCAAAACACAGGCAAAGCAGGGCTGGAGAGAAAGCTCAGCGATTAAACACCTGTATGGCTTGTGCAGAGGACTGTAGTGTGGTTTCCAGGGGATCTAGTGGCCTCTTCTGGCCTGCCCAGGTCTTCATATACGTATACCGATACACATATATACATATAATTAAAAATGCATTCCCCCCCTTTTTTTTTTAACTCACAAAACTATTTACTAATGGTGGAGCTGGTCATGGTGGCACACACCTTTAATTCCAGTAGAGAAGGCAAGAGGCAGGCAGATAGTGGGTTAAGGCAAACTTCTTCAGCTACATAGTGAGTTCAAGGCCAGCCTGGGTAACTTGAGACCCTGTCTCAAAGCAGCAGTAACATCTCGATTAAGTGTGAGCACCCCCGTACCTCACCTCCACAGTGATGTTGCATTTGCCAATCCAGTTTCCTGCCTTGTCCTTACTTGGCTGTTTTTAAAGGTGAATTGGCTCAGGTCAGATGGCCTCTTGCCTCTCATTCTCTACTCCAATTTCTCCTTAGCACTCTCAACAATCTTGTCCCCACTGTCTCCATCCATTTATAACTGCCCCCTAATTTCCATATCACCATCTGAAATGTTTTATTTCCTCTTGTTCTTCTCATTCACCTTCAAGGAGGTGGATGTAATTTGATAACTCTTTGCCTTCTGCTTTCTAATTATGGGCTAAAAAAATAAGCAATTTTGGAAATGGCCAGAGCAGCAAGTTTAGAAATAGTATCTTGGTTTTTGTTGTTTTTTTTAAGATTTATTTATTATACATACAGTGTTCTGTCTGCATATTTGCCTGCATACCAGAAGAGGGCACCAGATCTCATGATAGATGGTTGTGAGCCACCATGTGGTTGCTGGGAATTGAACTCAGGACCTTCAGCCTGGTACCTTACAAGACACACAGTTTAATAAGCTAAGGCCAAAGGCAGGGAGATTTTTATAGAACATTATTATATAGAGAATAGCCAGGAGAGCACAGCATTTATGTCTTCAGGGTGCATCACTAACTCTTTTAGGATGTTTGGAAAATAGGATCAGCAAGATGATTCCATTGGTAAAGGTTTCCACCACCGAGTCTGACAATCCGAGTTTGATCCTCAGGAAGCACGTTGTGGAAAGAGAACTTCTACACACAAAATGCAAAAAATCTGAAGCCAGGCATTGTGGCACATGCTTTTCTTTAATCCAGTACTGGGGTGGCAGAAGCAGGCAGATCTCTGAGTTTGAGGCCAGCTTGGTTCACATAGCAAGTTCCAGATCATCCAGGAGTACTTGGTAAAACGTATCTAAAACTTATAAATTAAATAAAAATATTTGGACTATAAAGCTTTTCTGATAAAGTTATGTTTGGAACTAGGCACCGTGGTCCATGCCTGTAGTTCCAGGTACCAGGGAGGCTGGAGCAGGATGATGATCACTTGATGCCATGAATCTGACAATTATATTTTGAATCCATGTCCATGATGGTTTATATTGATGGTCAACTTGACCGGATCTAGAATCATCTTAGAGAAAACCCTGTGGGCATGTCTATGAGTTTGATTAATTGAAGCGGGTAGACCCACACCTACTGCCAGACTGCATAAAAAGTTTGGTGAGTGCTGTCATCTCTCTGCATCTTATGGAACGAGACCAGCTGCTTCATCTGCCTCTTACCACGACTTCCCTGCCATAATGGACTGTACCCTTGAACTATGGGCCAAAATGAAACCCTTCCTGATGTCCCTTCTGAGGTGTTTTGTCACAGCAATGAGAAAAGTACTGTTTTAATTCCCTATTGGTTCCACATCTCACAAGCAGACATAAATTTGAGGTTTTTTTAAAAATGATTTTTATTTTATGTGCTTTGGTGTTTTGTCTGTACATCTGTGTGAGGATATGGAATCCCCTGGAACTGGAGTTACAGTTGTGAGCTGCCATGGTGGAATTGAATCCTGGTCCTCTGGAAGAGCAGCCAGAGCTCTTAACCACTGAGCCCTGTCTCCAACCCCTTTACTGAATTTTAAAGTTTGAAATTCCTAATGGATTAAGCTAAGCAGATGGTTACTGAACCCTCCACTCCTTGGGCAAGTTACTCAGGTCAAGGTTTATACTCTCCTTTTCTACCTGGCTAGATAGAGATCAGAGAACTGGTTCAGGCAATGAGGAAGCATTTGTTGTCACAGAAGGTGAAAGGAGCAGGGGCACCCACTGAGACCCCAGGTTAGGCGCAAGCCACACCCAACACCTGATTTCACCGAGAGGTCCTTTATTAAGCGGGGAGGAAAAGTTAAAGTGGCTGCTTTCTGACTCATCTGCTGCAGAAAACAGCAGCAAGTGACCTTGTGGGTGTCATTTGAGAGGAGGAAAAGGGGAGGTCTGTGGTAGAATGGGCTAGGATGCGCTGATGTAGAGGAGATAGGGGACAAGGGAAAGGGGGCAGGGGTATTTGTCCCCAAGGGATGAAGGACTGCTTCTGGATAGAGGCGGCAGACGTGGCCCATAGGCAAATGGTTGTTTTATAAAGGGGGAAGCCCCCGTGTTAGGATGAGGTGTTTAATTTTAATTGGGCATGTTAATTAGGTGAGCCAAAGGAGGCTTTTGATTACTGAATTTCAATACTTTGATAGCTGGACCTTGGTAGTCGGCCTCAGGAGGAGGAAGTGGCCAAATAAGGGAATGGACCTTGGTGGCTAGCTGTAGGAATGTGATCTAACAAGGCAGAATGTGATTTAGCAAGGCAGAGGGAATGGGGGAGAAGGGCAAGGCCTGCCAGAGCCACGTGCTCGAGTGGGCTAGTGTCCCTTCAGAAGGTTATTTTGGAAGAAGTCACTTAAGGAGGGAGTACAGAATAGGTTTAGTCTTTTCAGGCTTGCCATGAGAAGTTTTGGCATGAGAACAAATACCAAAAATAGGA